AACATAGACTCCAACCATACATGAAGAGAAAAATCCCAGAGGTTCAAGTGGTGTTCAGGAACAGAAGAGGCATGAGGGACCACATTGCAAACATATGATGGCTAATGGAGTGCACCAGAGAATTCCAAAAGAAAATCAGCATGTGCTTTATAGACTATAGCAAAGCCTTTGACTGCATAGATCATGAAAGGCTATGGGATGCCTTTAAAGACATGGGAGTTCCAACACATCTGAATCGGTACTCAGGTCAAGAGGCTCCTGTCAGAACAGAACATGGAGAAACAGAATGGTTTCTAATTGGCAAGGGGGTCAGATAAGGCTGTATCCTTTCACACTATCTGTTTAACATGTATGCAGAACATACTATAAATAAAGCAGGTTTGGACACAGAATAAGGAGGAGTGAAAACAGGAGGAAGGAATATCAACAATTTAAGATATGCAGATGACACTATAGTACTAGAACCTGCCAGACCTGGAACACCTACTAAGGAAGATCAAAGAAGAAAGTGCTAAGGCAGGCTTAATGTTGAATATAAAAAACACAAAAATAATGACCACGGAGGACCTTCACAAGTTCAACCTAGACAATAAAGAAATAGAAATAGTAAAAGAATACCTGGGGTCAAACATTGATAGAAAAGGGGACTGAGTCAGGAAATCAGAAGAAGATTAAGGATGGGGAGGGTGGCTGTGAAAGAATTAGAAAAGATTCTAAAGTTCAAAGATATACAAGTCAGACAAAAGTTAGAAACATACAAGCTATTGTATTCTCTATTATCATGTATGGATGTGGAAAGAAAATCAATTCAGTTGAGATGTGGTGCTGGAGAAGAATGCTGAGGATCCCATGGACAACCAAAAGAACAAACAAATGGGTCCTAGAGCAGATCAAGCTGGAAACCTCCCTGGAAGCCAAGATGACCAAACTGAGACTGTCCTACTTTGGACACATCATGAGAAGGGAGGACTCATTGGAAAAGACAATAATGCTGGGAAAGGTGGAGGGAGGAAGAGAGGAAGGCCACATGCTAGATTGATGGACTCTATTAAGGAGATCATGGGTATTAAGCAGAGCAATGGAGGATAGAGGTCTTGGAGATGTCTCATCCATAGGGTCGCCATGAGTTGAGATCGACTCGAAGACAGTTAACAACACCAACAAATAGCAGTGAGGAAAGGACAGCCTGTCACCTGCTATCCAGCAGATAGCTAATTAACTGGAAACTGGGGGAAAGAGGCTTCTGGGTAAGGCACCGGA